TCCTTAAAGATCTCCATTTTCGCGCGGGAAGTCGTTGCTGGTACGGAGCCACCTCCTGCGATCAACTTGAAGTTGAATTATTTCTGTTAAATCACTGTTTAATGTTGAAATATCGGGGATTATGTTTTCTTTTTTCGAATTGGTCCCAGAATGTGGAAGTAGAAGTGCTAAAGTCAACCTAGCTTTATTTTTCCTTTTTCCAGGACATGTTAGGTTTTTCATTTTTCTAGTCCTTGGAAATAATTGGATTCTTAAGTGTAATTGGATGCTGGCTTGTCTATTCCGTTAATGCAGTTAGTATTTCTTCCAAAAAAAAAAAAAAAAAAAAGAGACCATATGAGTCTACTAAAGAGGAATCTGCATTGAGGATTTTCAGCGTATGAAATTAGTAGAGTGGTAGTATATTATGTGCTGATTAATGTAGAATTGTTTGACAGTTGGTAAAGAAGATCAACCAATGCCATACCTCCTGTTTCTGCAAGGTGGATCGGGTTTTGAATCCCCGAGACCAACTGAAGGCAGTGGATGGATACTTAAAGCTTGTGAGGAGTTTCGTGTTATATTAATGGATCAGGCATGGTTTCCTTGAAGCTTATTTGATGAGATGGAGTACTTGTGCTAGTTGTTATTGAGGGTTGATGATTTGTTTTTTCTTTCAGAGAGGAACAGGATTATCAACTCTGCTGACAACATCATCCATGCTGCAATTTAAGTCTGCCTGGGATTTGGCTGATTACTTGAAACATCTTTGTGCTGACAGTATAGTCAGTGATGCTGGGTTTATCTGTGTTCGTCTTGTTCCTGGTTCTGGACCTTAGACGGTTTTGGGCCGGGTATTAAAATTATCGTTCAATTTTGACATTTCTGTTTGTGCATATCACCATTTCACATGACTATGAGTAGCGTCTAGTGATGATCAATTAATTAGTATGCATGCCATGAGTTTATGACTTTTTGGGATTTTAATCTTTTCTCTCTCTTTCTGGTAGAGCTATGGAGGTTTTTGTGCCATCACCTATTTGAGTATTGCACCACAAGGATTGAAACAAGTGCTTCTGACTGGTGGAATACCTCCAATTGGGGATGGATGAACTGCAGATACTGTTTATGGACCTTGCTTTGAGCAGGTTGCTCGTCAGAATGAAAAGTACTACAAGAAGTATCCTCAGGATATTGAAGTTGTTCGTGGAGTTGCAAACTATTTGGCAGAATCTGAAGGGGCTGGGGTGAGGCTTGGCTGCATTTGATCCTGGTTCTTTACTCAAAGCTGATATTTTAGCTAAATCTTTTTAATGTAAGCTTCTTTTTGTGCAGGTTCCTCTTCCATCTGGGGACATCTTGACCCCAAGGGGGCTACAACTTCTTGGTCTTTCTGGTTTACGATCTAGTGCAGGTTTTGAACGCCTTCATTATCTGTAAGCATCATAACTATGCACCTTTTTTTTTTCTTCTAAAAGCTCAGATTTCAGTGTTATGTCACTGCATCCACATCTTTTTGTAATCTTTTAAAAACAACTGTAGGTTTGAGAGGGTCTGGGATCATGTAATAGTCCCAGGAGCACCTAAGAAGAATAGTTTCTACTTCTTGAATGCTGTAAGGTACTTTTTAGTTTCTTATTTATATTTTGGAAGTTCAAGTCACATTCTCGGAATTAATCTTGATTCATTTTGTTTGAACAGTTTGACAATTGATTGGGTTTTGATTCAAACCCACTCTATGCTCTTATCCATGAGTCAGTTTACTGTCAGGTAGATTATGCTGTTTATTCTATTCCATTTGCTTGATGAGCAACATTTTGCTGCATACGTTACCTTTAAAAAGGAAGGAAAAAAAATCAATATGTGGTTGAACAGGTTTTACCATGGCCAAATCCAAACAATACCATTGGGACTCTTATCTCAGTTGCAATATTCCACTCACATGTGTGTATGATTTGATTTTTGAGTTATTTGTGGTTTCTTAATTCTATAAAGGGTGCTTCATCTCGCTAGTCTGCTCAACGACTGAGGGCTAAATATGAGAACAAGTTTGATGCAATCAAGGCTGCAGGTGAAGGACGCCCTGTACTTTTTACAGGGGAGGTAAGACCATTGTGTTTTATTGATTGCAAGTTTGCAACTGCAGCATTTACATGCAAGCATCAGTGTCTGTGTTGACATAGATCTGAGAAACCCAACTAGCCTTGAGGCAAATTTATTTAGATTTCCTTTCACCCTCCATTTTTCAAAAATAAAATATTGTTCTTCTGCAAGCAAGAGTATGAAACCAAAATTTCAGTACGTGCATGCCATCATTTTTAATATGGAACCCTGAGAGGTGATCATAATTTTGAATAAATCTTGTGGTTCTGAGTCAATTTCTTTACCTCAAGTTCATCTGATCAGTGCAGCCATTGTTGCTATTCAACTGATAGTCTAATACATATGGTTTTGGGTTTCTACAGATGATGTTCTCATGGATGTTTGATGAAATTCATGCTTTGAAGCGTTTTAAAGATGCTGCTCATTTATTGGCCGAGAAGGAAAATTGGCCCGTATTATATGACAAAGCTGCATTAAACAATAACAAGGTTTGACTGCCTTTAGTTAACCTCTTTAATTCACTATTAAACCAAACATATAACAATAATAATTCTTACAAAATCTCTTCTTTTCCTAAGCTAAGTACACTAGTATATATTTGCAAATAATCCAATACATATTGGCTTAAATACCAAGTATAAATCTTTTAGTATTTGATTAATCATTAAATTTAAAAGAAATATACTTAAAAATTTTTAAATCAAATATCAAATATAACTTATATTCAAATTATTTTTGAAAATACTCAGCTCTAGTTAAGACAGGGCAGGGCAAGTTCTGTTATGGCCCAAAAATTTTATTTTATTGGGCTAAGCCTATAAAGAGAAGCTATTATTTTAATGGAGGCTAGGGGGGAGTCCAAATTGGACCGGAAAAAGAAAGAGAAAGTCCAATGGGCCAATGCTGAATTGATGGGGAATTTACGATTTTTTTTTCTTATTGGACCGGAAAAATCTCTAGAGGGAAAAAATCAGTGTACTAATCATACATAAATAAAGGGATGCTCTGATTGGCTAAAAATGATTTTTGAGGTAGCATGATGCATAATCTCAGGTGCATCCGGCCCACATTTGGATGCCCCAAGCACTTTATCCGCCTTAGCATCAACGACTAGCTTCATCATTGTAGTCTTTTATTGCCGCCTGGTGAGTAACATGAGAGGCGCGAACCGGGCCTTAGGCCCAATGGTTTGCCCTCAAGGTTTAGGGTTTGAGTGAGGCGGTGGTCAGAGTTTCGAGCTCTATCACCGCTGTGAACTCCACCAAAAAGCAGTTAATTGGCCGCGCGCCTCATTTGAGGGGGTGGAATATTCATCACTCTGGGGATCTCAATTGCTAATAACTAACTCATACTAATTTCCTACCATTACCCTTGTAAAAAAAAAAAAAAAAAAAAGTAACATGAGAGGCACAATTAAATTTGAGGAAAAAATAATAAATCAAATATACGAGTTGGGCATCCGCTCGTCCTAAGAAATAATGAATATAATCCATTGATAACGTATTTAGTGCAGAATTAGGAGTATTCTTATTTTATATATGACATTTTTTGAATTTATATTCGAAAAAGATTATCCAACCTTAAAACCAATTAATAATGGATAGAAAGTTTGATATTATTTACTTATTGGTTTGTCTATCATATACTCTTAGTTAATAATTGTCACTTTATTAAAAAAAATGTAAAATTTTAAATTAAAAAATTCTGATTTTAATTTTAAAATAAATAAATAAGAAA